TCTTGTAGACGGTGATGCCGCGGGGTATATCGCAGCGGATCCGATCCAAATCGGACAGGTCCACACAGTCATCCTCATCTGCAGCCTGCATTGCTTGCATCTCTATCTCTTCCCTGCATTTACATCTCCCTGTACCCTTCACACCTCAGGGAGCCGCTTCTGGCCCCAGGAGATACACTTCCACCTGTGATTGGTAGAGGACAGGGGCCGCAGCAGCTATGGTGACACAAACAGTAAGCTGGTACCTTAACCCCTGCCTCTCCACGCAGGCTGGAAGTGGCATGGTAATGGGACACGGCCACTCACCTTGCAGTTTGGGCTGGATTTCTTAAATACTCTGCAAGAAATGGAAAAAAAAGAAAGAAACATAAGTTGAAGTTCTGTACACTCTTCAGGCTGAAAACAAAAAAACGCCCATCTTTCCCCGATCGCTCCCATGTAATATTTCAGGACTGACCGGGAAAAGTAGGACCTATAGAGATCAATGATCATTAACCAGTAATGGAATTCCTGCTCCACACAGATGCCGAACATTCTGCATAGTGACTCACATTCATGGAAAAACAGCGCACAGGTAACCCACCCACACCATATATTCACTGACTGGGTCAGTCCAACAAAAATTATGTCCCCTACGGGTAAAGGGAATCACAGTTATGTCCTAGGGGGCTTTGGTGATGAGGTGAGATCCATCTTCACCACTATGGTTTAAAAGCAGTACTCCTACAAAGGCTTTCTGCCAGTAGAAATAACCATGGGTCACTTCTTGCGTTGGTGACAACGCTGTAATGTGACTGTAATATTTACAGCGCTGTCACAAATGGATATCTCAACGTGGCTGCCAGACTACAGCCTTGCATCGTGATGCTGCCTCTTGCTATAGGAACCAAGCGTTGTCACCACTGAGGAAGCAGTCTCCCACAACCGATTCCTACCTAGCAGTCTGGTGTTGTCACCACTGAGGGAGAGGCAGGTGTCTTCCACAACTGATTCTTACCCTAGTAGTCCAGCGTCGTCACCGCTGAGGAAGAAGGCATAAGACCGCTAAAACTTCAGCACAAGTGCTTCTTACCCCCAAAACCCTAGCATGGTCATCAATGAACAAGAAGCAGTTACTCCCACAACTACCTCCTACCTTAACAGGCCAGCATGGTCGCTACTGAAGGTGGTCATTCCCACCACTGCCTCCTACCCCAGCAATCAAGCCTGGTCACCACTGAGAAAGAAGTATATCACGCGGACCACTGCCTCCTACCCCCAGCAATCAAGCGTGGTCACCACTGAGGAAGGTCATTCCTACCACTTTCTCCTAACCCAGCAATCAAGCGTGGTCACCACTGAGAATGAAGTAGGTGACCCGGACCAGTGCCTCCTACCCCCAGCAATCAAGCGTCGTCACCACTGAGGAAGGTCATTCCCACCACTGCCTCCTACCCCGGCAATCAAGCGTGGTCACCACTAAGAGGTAGGCCACTCGGACCACTGCCTTAGTCCAGCATTGTCACCACTGAGCTAGAGGAAGGTCATTCCCACCACTGCCTGCTACCCCAGCAATCAAAGGTTGTCACCACTAAGAGGTAGGTCAGTGCCACCACCTCCTAGTCCAGCAAACCAGCGTTGTCACCCCCGTGGGAGGAGGAGGGAAGACATTTCCACAATTGCTTCTTACCCCAACATCCTAGCACTGTCACCAATGAAGAAGCAGATAACTGCCACAAGTGCCTCCAACCCTAACAGCCCAGCAAGGGCACCAGTGAGGAGCGAGGCTTTTGATGCAGTGACAAGTCTGGTCTTTTGGGTGCGGATGTGACAGGACATCTGGTTTTATCAGGCAACGCTTTACAATGACGGGACAGACAAACCAACCGCTCTGCGAGATACAATCATAGCCCTCCTGATCCGGGATGTCATCTAACATGAACAATTTTAGCAGAATCATGTGAGATCTCACGGCATTCAAGAGAAAAAAGAAATACAGAAGATAAATGATGAAGAGATTAAAAAAACTTGCAGGACGGAGACTGTGGCAGTTAGAATTTTGTTCTCTGCTGATCAAGTACAGATAAGCCGACAATGAATAATCACCAGCAAGACCTTAAAGCTGAACCACAGAGATAAAAACAAACCCATAGACCAATAAAAGTTAAAACAAAAAAAGGAGAAGCTTTTGCTGCAATACCTTTCAATCCAAAGCCGGTCACCTAAATCAGGGCTGGACAAATCCCAGGAGCCAGGCCCCCAATGCTCCTTCAACAATCCACAGCTGGCACCCAACTTCTCAGGTTCTCTCTAGAGGTTGCCAATGGAGTTGGCTCCTAAAAAAAAAAAACCCTTCCTGGTTCATGGATTGGGCAGACGGGTTCCTAAACTCCATATTAATCCGTCCATCACGGACCACATTTCTAGGGTGAATGACGGCCATGAAAGCGCATGCCAAAGTGACCAGTAGAACAAGATTTATGGTCAACCATATTGTTACAGGACTCAGAGGAGCTGCGACTGACGTCTTGGTGCCAGATACCACAGCGTACCTTCAGAGGTCTTGTGGAGTCCTTGAGAATTCATAACTTTGAAGCAACCAGAAACTACAGTTATCCAACACCGACCAATAACTGCAAGTTTAACTGTGTGTGTGTGTCATTCATACATGCATACATAGCTTGAAAAATTTGACGGTGTCTCACCAGTCAAAAATGTCACCAGTCAGCATGACCGGACTATAGCTTTGCCATTTATGTAAAAAAAAATTGGGGGGACAGATAAGAGCTTTCTTTTGTGACCCCACGGGGGGTTATTTTTTTTTTTTTT